GAGACTACTCCACGGGGTAGGGAAAGCTCAAGCTTTCCCGGGTTTAGGTTTTTATTCCTTTCTCTCTTAATCTCTGCGGTACAGCATTAGTTTAGGTTATATACCCAAGCCAAACCCTTTACACAAGCAACTAGGGTTGGCTAAGTTACAAGACACTCCTCACAATAACAAACCGACACCAAACAGGTCTAGTGAGCTAGTGTCTCGCAACAGAGACGATTAAACCGCCGAGAGAAGAGCTTGTCGTTCCCAATACAGGGCTAAGTTAATTACATTTGGTTGATATTTGGGCCTGGGCCTGGGCCTGGGCCTAATGGTTCTTACTTCTGACTAAGGAGTCCAACTATATCTGGGAAATGTATGGATCACCAACCAAACCTTAATGAGCTGGGATTGGGCTCCAAACCCGCCCAACCTAGCTATTGCCATGCCAGCCCCTACCTTTCAAGTAAGAAAAATCATCACTGGTCGAAGAGGTTGCCGGTCAATAGTGCACAACGTTCAAAATTAATGTCCAGACCTAATGTTGATTGAAAGCATCAATGCTTATAAACATGTTAGTTCAACTCTTGATTGTTTCCCGCTTCAGTTGATGTGATCATTAATTAAAATTGATTCGTGGTTGCTTGTGTATTTGATTTTTTGTTAACCTATCTTGATTCTGAGCCAGGGAGAAAAACGTGCCACACACTTTCGGGTCCACTACCTCTTACAAGGTTATTAGGTTGGAGGTCCATTTGCATCGTTTTTCTCTTTAATTTGCAAATCTTCGCCTGATCCTACCTTTAAAATTATAAGTTGAACATTTGAATATTGATGTTATGTAAGTATGTGTGAATTTTCACTATATGTTGAATACAAGTACGCCCTGTTATTTTGGTGTGATGTTATTACTCATATGTTAAATGATATTTGATATAAGGCAAATTCATCTGTATAACCAAAACTTTGACGTTTGTGACAATAATAGCCACTTTTAGAGAAATACCAACAATAGCCAAAATTTTGAAAGTTCGATGACAAATATAGCCATTTTCGTTACATAATTTAATGTCGTGAGTGACACCATTCGTTATATTAACGGAAATTTTACATGGCTGCCAACACACCCTCTCTTTCTTTTACATCTCAGCATTCAGTGACAGGTGGATGACACATCATTAAAAAAAACTCATATCCTCGTCTTCCCAATTTTCTTTTTCCTTATTTTTTCAGAAAAGCCCCTTCCTCCTACCTGGCACGTCTCCCAAATCCCCAAAAAAACCTCACGACCTTCTTCGTCTCTCTCTCAAATCGCTCTTTCCCTTCTGCCGATCCAAATCTCGATTCTAGATTCACTCAGCCTTCGCAATTGCTCGCTTGCCGGGAAACCCTCGCTCACTTTGCTTCAAAGGCTTCCGCACCTGCTGCGAATCCGAATCAACCCGGCGCCTGCGGAGTAGGTGGCGGAGGATTAGGTAGCGGAGGCAGTGGTGGGTTTAACATCATAGCCCCACCACCACCGTCTCGGCTGTTACAGAGTGGACTAAGCGGCGAGCTGGGGCAGCTGTTTCTGTCGCCGCCGGAGGAGCCCTATGCCAAATCTCTAGTCGCAGAACCGAATCGCATAGCCCACTTCTCCTCGACGACGATTGGTGTTGTGAGGTTCCCATTTTCGATTATTCTGGGTTGTTCCAGAGTGTGGCTACCCTCCTCCACGGAGGGAAGTGCATCCCTTTCTTCTTCAAGCTCTGCCTCGCCGCCTCTGCCACGATCGACACGATCGGGCCCAGCCGGTCCGCTTTCCACACGAAAATGTGCAACAGTGATTGGAGACAAATTTGTAAGCACTGGTCGATCTTTCTCAAATCGCCCCAACGCCCAGCTTCAGGCCCGGCGAATCCGCTTCCACCAGACGCTCAACTTCCTCCCTCTCTGACTTTCACCATTTCTCCACTTATCATAACCATAGCTCCATCCCTTCAATGGCGGTTCCCCAACACTAGCCTCTGTGAATTTTCTACAATAGACAGATCAGGAAGACACCCAAAACCACAAAGAGAAATTTTCCAGAACCCTTCTTTTCTATTTCAGTCGACCAAGAAGACCCCCAAACCCAAATCTCAGTGGAGATTGCACAGAGAGCAACTCCATATTCATAGGTGAGGAGGAGAGAAAAAGAAGACGAGTAATCGGGGAGCAAATAGAAGCGATTTTTTCCAGCAATGACTTCTTCCCAACTCGTCTGCGACTGCTCCATCTTCTGATGCTTTTGGATCCGTCGTTCTTGTTCTTCTGAAACTGGTCCCATCATCTGCGGTGAACCTCAAAATTGGGGATTAGAGAGAAGTGGGTGGGATGGCTGAAGATGGTGTGGCAGACTGGTAGTGAAGTCGGAGTTGGTGTTGGTGGAGGCAGAGATGATTGATGATGGCTAGGGGTGTAAGTTTGATCCTAAAAACCCACTGACCCGTCGGGTTGGGACGGGTCAGTTTGTCTATAGGGTCAGTTTAGGGACGGGTCAGCTTTTGACCCTATAAGGGTCGGGACGGGTAACTTTTTGACCCAGTGACCCTTAACAACAACAAATATCCCATACCACATTGGACCTCTTTGTAAAAGTTTTCAAAGTTTAGGTACTAAATTGCAAAAAATAAAAAATTTGGGTACCAAAATATAATTTCACCACCAAAATTTATGGACTTATTTGTAAAAAAAATAAATTTTAGGTACTAAATTGTAAGAAAAAATAGTTTTGGGTACCAAAACGTAATTTATAAAAATAGTAGTGTGCAAATTAGGGTCGACCCACTGACCCGGCCCGTCCCGACCCGTCCCATCCCTTGAGGGTCAGACATGGTCAAGAAGGAGACAGGGACGAGATAGTTATACTTATACATCTTGACTCTGCAGGGACGGGTAAGACAGGGTCAAAGACGGGTTAGGGCAATTTTCAGCCCTAAATTGGTGGCGGAGGCAGAGATGATTTTGGACCGAAGGCGATGATGTTTGTGGTATTGGTGGTGGGAGGATTTGTCGGCAGAGAACAACTCTTCGCCTCCTCTTAAAACTCATTGATTTTTTTTTAAATCCACGTGGGTAATACGCACGTGACGAAAATTGCTAGATCGGACAATCCGTTAGTACAGTTAGCACGTTAACTCACACAGTCAAAGAATTGGACGAAAGCGGGTATTTTTTATATTTCGTCAAAAGTGGCTATATCTGGCCAAACCGTCAAAGTTTTGGCTATACATGTGTATTTTGCCTTGATATATAATGAATAAATATATGAACATTATAATAACTTTTTTCATATATCCAAACTAAAATGATCTAACTATTAACTCTCAAACCACTTTCTCGATCGTACCAACGAGCTAAACTGGTTCGACAATCTTATTCACGACAAACACAACGAAATATTGAGTATTGGTTAATGAGGAGCCGAATCCCAAACCAAACGGGCTAAGATCTGGTGACTAAGGGGGGGTCCCCTTAGTCACATGGCTAAGTGAATCTCCACCCTTGCACCTCATTAAAATCCAAGGGCTCATATTAATCCAATTTAATGAAGGACAATATAGTAATTGTAGACTTTTTAATTTTTAATTATTACTTAATTAAAAAATCCTCAATATCTGGCGATCTCTTCTCGGCTGGGATTTTCGTCACCGTTCCGTGTGCCATCTCTTCCCGCCGGCCAGCAATCCGGCGTCCCATTTTCGTCCACAGGTGGGCATTTTAATGGAGAATTTTCCCCTCCCAAATCATGGTCCACACCGCCATTTTTAATTCCCCCTCCCAAATTTCCATGTTCAGGGCAGACAGAGAGATTTTCTGATCGGAATTATTTTTCCGGCGAACATCGTCGCCAGAGAAGAATTTCTCGGCGACAGTGCTAATTTTGTGATGTTTGTTGACATATTTTGTAATGTTTGTATTCTTTGTTATTTTGTAATGTTTGTCGGTTTTTTTTGTAATGTTTGTAAACTTTGTTATTTTTGTGCACCATGTTTGTAAACTTTGTTATTTTTGTCAACCATGTTTGTAATGTTTTTTATGTCTAAAAAACAACCTAGTTGACTTTTGGATGAAACTCCTCTATATAGGGATGAAGCCTCCAAAGTCAACCCGGGTGTTTTTTCTAGTTCGTATGGATTGTCGGTCTAGTTTGTCATTTTTGTCCACCATGTTCGTAATGTTTGTATGTCTAAAAAACACCCGGGTTGACTTTGAGAAGGAGCCCCTCTATATAGGGATGGAGCCTCCAAAGTCAACCCGGGTATTTTTTCTCGTTCGTATGGATTGTCGGTCTAGTTTGTCATTTTTGTCCACCATGTTCGTACTGTTTGTATGTTTTAAAAACACCCGGGTTGACTTTGGGAAGGAGCCCCTCTATATAGGGATGGAGCCTCCAAAATCAACCCGGTTGTTTTTCCTTTTTGTATGGTTTGTATTGTTTGTCGGTCTAGTTTGTATTGTTTGTACAGTTCATACGTTTGTAATGTTTGTAAATCTGTTTGTATGTTTTGTCGCTCTAGTTTGTACTGTTCGTATGTTTGTATGGTTTGTACTGATTTTAAATCCGGTTTGTATACTTCGTAATTTTCCATAATACCCAAACTACCCCTGTCATTAACTAAATAGCCCTTCCCACTTTTTAACCATTGGATTGAAGTGTCCAGATCTGATGGCTAGGAGGGGCTTAGCCAAGTGACTAAGGACCCCCCTTAGTCACCAGATCCGCTCTCCAAACCAAACCCCAATCCGAATGTGCAACTCCAGTTCCGCGTTAGGAGAAAAGATAGACGAGAGTCGTGTGAAGTGCGTGGAAAACCGCAATTCTGACCTCCACAGCCAAACCAACATCCAACCGGCCACTGGCAGTGCCAGGCTGCCACCACCGTCGGTTTGCCATCTCATCGTCTGCTGTCGTTTTCAGCCTTTTCTTGTCGTCCTCCTCTGACCAACCTATCCCCACCCACCACCACGACGTCGTCTTCATATCCCTCCCTCCCCAACCACGCGCAGGAGAAGAAGGCAGAATCTCCCCCTCTGGCCTCTACCCAACTCCCCGTATTTATTGGCCGTTTCAAAATCATTTCCCACACCCTTCTTTCCGTTTTCTACTTTTCTCCTCCGCTCGACTCCACTCCACAGAAAGGAAAGGAAAGGAAAGGAAAGGAAAAAGGGGAAGAAATCGGAGAAAGCGAATATTGAACAGAGCATCGAGTCCACCGAGATTTCGATTCGCGCTCGCCGGAGAATTCCATTTTCCCCGTCTTCCAATCCCAAGTAGACAAGTCCATTCTCTTCTCGATCTGTTCGCCCCTCGGGTAAGTCGTTGTCATCTTCCCTTTTCTCTCTCGGGAACTTTCTTTTTCAGATCTGTATGCTTAGCGAGCTTGTTGGAACTCGCGATTAATCTGTTGATGGATCTCGCAGGTTCGAGAGATCTGAGAGGAGGGAATTGGAGATACACAGAGTAAGAGTAGCAATAGTATTATTTGTTGACGGAAAAGGAAACCATGGCGCATAAGGTAGATCACGAGTACGATTACCTCTTCAAGATTGTGCTGATCGGAGACTCCGGCGTCGGTAAATCCAACATTCTTTCCCGCTTCACCAGAAACGAATTCTGCTTGGAGTCCAAATCCACCATCGGCGTCGAGTTCGCCACCAGAACTTTGCAGGTCAGAAATCTTCTTTTTCTCTCTCACACAGTCACTCTCCCGCTCTCCCTGTTTTGTTGTCTCGATCGATCTAGTTGGGTTGGTTTTCGCTTGAAATTGTGTGGGATCTTGAACTCTTGTGTTCTTACTCCTTGTACTGAATGCGCGCAAGTGTTAAACTGTTTTACTTCGTACTTGTGGCTCTGCGCCTTGCCGTGATGGTGAAATGTTGATTGCTGAGTATGATATCCTTTTGTCTGCTGTATTATCCTGGAAAATCCTACTGCTGCATCCCTACTTGGCAGTTCATCATCGGTTTTGTCAAGTTAATTGATGCACGAAGTAAGCTTCGTTTACCGAGTTTGTGTCGACTTCTTGGTGCATACTTGATAATCTCTTTCGTGAATGCAATATGCTGATGCCCATAAAAAGAGTATTTAGTTGTGCTGATCAGACCGTGCGTGCTAATTAAGCATAAGGGTTACCAGTGATGCTTAGGAGAAAAGGAGTGTAATGCTTGAACTGGCTTCTGTAGATGGCTTAATCAGTGCAAGTATCAATGTACACCAGCAGTTTAGTTTCTGGTTGAAGAGCTAGCCTGCTGAACTGGGATGCAATGTGATATAAGTTTAAGCATAAGCACCATCGGTCCTAAATGTTATCTGCTGTGTTGGTGTAGGTGGAAGGAAAGACTGTAAAGGCTCAGATTTGGGATACAGCAGGCCAGGAGAGGTACCGAGCGATCACAAGTGCTTACTACAGAGGGGCAGTTGGTGCACTCCTTGTCTATGACATTACCAAGAGGCAAACATTTGACAATGTCCAACGGTGGCTACGCGAGTTGAGAGACCATGCAGATTCCAACATTGTCATAATGATGGCTGGAAACAAGTCCGACTTGAATCACCTGAGGGCTGTTTCAGATGGAGACGGACATACCTTGGCCGAGAGAGAAGGTCTCTCATTCCTCGAGACGTCAGCACTTGAAGCAACGAATATCGAGAAGGCATTCCAGACGATACTGACAGAGATATACCATATCATAAGCAAAAAGGCGTTGGCTGCCCAGGAAGCCGCTGCTAATTCTTCCATTCCTGGCCAAGGAACCACCATCAATGTTGCAGATGGCTCAGGCAATGTCAAGAAAGGAGGTTGCTGCTCTGCCTAAGGAGCCCGTGTCTACTGACTGACCAATGGGTAGAAAGCACTATCGGCAAGCAACCATTCTTCCTTCCTTTGTTTTTCATTTCTTTTGGGTTTTCATTTAGCAATTTTTGGCCAAGAGGAGACCTGTAGATTACTCTCTGTTCCCCGTAAATTGAGAATGTGAAATTTGCAAAGATGCTATGGTTAGATTTCAGGGTGGCCTTTTCCTTTTCTGCTTATTTCTTTGTATTTTACACTTTCAAACAAAGCTTGGATATGATGATAGCACGGATGTAGAGTGACCACATATTATCTCAGTTGAGACTTCTTGAGACACACAGTGCCTAAAAGCAGAGAAATTCGTTTTTCCTTTCGCTGATCTTGTAAACCAGTCATTTTACAGTGCAAGCTTAGGCCACTAACTACCACAATGAGTGACAGTGTTGTCCATTATCGGTTGCCATTCCACAATTGGTTATTTGGTGCATCTGCTCGGCTGCCATCAAAGGTGGAAGTCCACTAGCCAAAAGGCATGCGAGCCATTACAGTACACCCTGGGCCCCTGGCAGTGACAAATGAAACAGGCAGTTGAAGTCTGGTGAGAATCGAATAAGCAGAGCACCAACCACACAATTTGCTGTTGTGCTCACTAGAGGTGTACATAGGCGAAAAAGTTAGTCTCCTAACTGATGTCTTTGTTAGGAGATGCTAACACGGTTTGGATTTTGTCCACGCAGGCCCAGTTGAGATCCAACGGAGGGAATAGATGGGCTCATTTAAGTGGGGTTTTGTGGCTTTTTTTTTCCAGCCGAGAAAGGAGAGGGAGCTGATGGGTGGCGGCTCGGTGGGGACCAGTTGTCAAGGGCGGGAGAAAGGGAAAGAAAGGGAGAGGGTGGGTGATTTATTTGGGGAAAGAAAAGTAAAAAAAAAAATTAAAACCCAAAAAGTGGTTGGAATTTAATGCCCACAACCACCCAAACCCGAAAATTGCCTCCCATGTGATATATATGTATGTTTGTTTGTGCGGATATTTATTTGTTTTCAGTCGATATTATTATGTGTTGTGTTGATATTACTTTGCATCATTGTTGAAATGAACTAGTATTTTTTCTTCGCAAACCAATATCCATCATTAAATTAATATTTACCCAACCCCAAAATAACCCAACCACCCAAAACTGATTACACCAATTTAGAGTTAAGTTTTAGGGTTTATGGTTCGGTTTTCAATTTGTGAAGGATTGGAATATTGTTTCTTACATCAAATTAAACACACTAGGAAATTAAACACACTAGGAAGTCCTAACACGTAAGGCTTGCAACCTTAGTTAGGGCTGCCCGCCGAGGGCCCATGGGCCGAAGGCCCATTAAATAATAATAGTTTTATGATTTAGGGTTTGTGTTACGGTTTAATGTTAAGGGTTTAGTCTGTGTGTGTTGGGTATTAGTCTGTCTGTGGTGGGTATTAGTCTATCATGGTGACGATATTAATTATGGTATCATCAGATATTAGTCTTTAACGGTGAGATATTAGTCTGGGTGGTGTGGACATTTTTTTTATTGTGAACGGATATTAGTCTGCAAAGTCGGATATTAGTGTGGGTTGGTTTGGATATTTGTTTTATATGGTGTTTATCTATGTTTGTTTGTGTTGATATTTAGTTTAAACAAATCCGTAACAAAACAAAGTCGTTTTACGACAAACCGCGATACAACTAGTATTCAGTGTCATTCCAACTTTGCAATCTCATAATCTAAAATCCGTAAAAGTACAACCACAAAAATGAAAAAGGAATAGTTCAAATGTTGTCTTGCTTGGCCAAACTTTATATAATATTTTTGATCATATCCCTCAAAGCCCTCCGTGTGTTCGATCATGCCATTTTGGGGTGTGGATAATTGTTATGCTGAACGGATATTAGTTTGTGACGTTCGGATATTTAGGCTGGCTGGTTTGAATATTTGTTTTGTGTGAATGGATATTAGTATGTGATGGTTAGACATTAGTCTGTGTTGTTTGGATATTTGTTTTGTGTGGATATTTATCTACTTAATTTATATTAGGCAAAATACACTTGAATAGCCAAAACTTTCACATTTGTGCCACTTATAGCCACTTTTGGCGAAATACCACTAATAGTCACTTTTGAAAGATGTTGTGTGCCAAATATAGCCATTTCCGTTAGAAACTGTGACGGTGTTAATAACTCCGTCAACTTATTTAACGGCCGGCTGACGAGGCGCCAAATCATCAGCCACGTCAACGACAACTAAGCAAATAGTGACACGTAAGATATTTTAATTATTTAATATTTAATTACTACATTAAATTATAAAAAACAAAAAAAAAAGGAAAGAAAAAGAGATGAAAATCTCTTAATTCCCCGATCCCTTTGAATTTTTTGAAGATCCCTCTGCTACTCTCCAAGACCCCTCTTCTTCTCCACCAGCAATCCCCCACCACTCCTCCGGATCTTGAACCTCTTGCCTGCTTCTCCGATTCCGATGCCATCACCTCTCCGGGTAAACCTATCGTTGGCCGCCATCGAATTCGGCGCCGCGCCTGTTCATCTCCTTATGTCCAACATCTTCACCACTTCTCCGATGGAAATGGATTGTTCCCCTTCTCTTCTTATTCTTCCCAACTTCATCTCCTCTTCTTCAAAAATCCCCAAATCACGAACTCAATCGAACAAAAAATCCCTAATTAAAAAATCCTCCCTATCATTGTGGAGAAATCCAGATCTGAGGCAGGTGGAGGACGTTGATGACGGGGAGCTCCTGGCGGCGGAGTTGAGGGAGATGTAGGGCCGCAGGAGAAGCCGTATGGGAAACGGAAGGGGAAATAGGAGAGAGAGAGGAAGCCGTAATACGGGAGGTAGACGGCGGCGGCCTGTTTGGAATCTTTGGTCAAACAGGTGTATTTGAGCATCCGTCGATGGAAGATAAGCTCGACAAGGAAAGGGCAGAAATCGTAGTAGACTCGTACTCGGATCAATTTGCGAGGAGAACGAGGTTGAACCTCTCCAGGAGACGCCTGATGTGGATCTAACAGCCCAAGCAACGAGTTGTGGGACCGCCGCCGCAAATGATGATCCTCCTCCTCCCCTCTTCCGTCTTCTCCTTATCCTGCTTGCTTTTTTCTGGACTTGGATGCTTGCTGCAGGGAAAATGCAAGGCTAAGTGAGAGGAGGAGGAAGTAGAGTAGGGAATGGGAAATATGTACGGACACCATGAATTTACAGGGGAAAGCTTTGGAGAAGAGCTGCAATGGAGGAAAGAGATTTTAGGGATTTTTGTTGCTGTATGGTGTTGGGGGTTTTCTATTAAATTAATTAATTCTTTAGTTAATTCCACCTCACCTTGGGGGTTTTCTATTAAATTAATTAATTCTTTAGTTAATTCCACCTCACCTGACAATTTGTAGCCAGGTCAACATCTCTGTTAGTTCAGTCAGTCGTTTGGTTAACACCGTCAAAGAATTGGACGGAAGTGGCTATTAGTGGTATTTCGCCAAAAGTGGCTATAAGTGGCACAAATGTGAAAGTTTTGGCTATACAAGTGTATTTTGCCTTTATATTATTGTTGAAATGAACTAGTATTTAGCATCCCCAAATCACAAAATGTATTCCATAACAAAACACTGGTTTTCAAGTATCAGGACACTAATATCTTGACCTCACAAAACAAATATCAGGACACTAATATCCATACATGGCAGAGTAATATCCTGATTGTGAGAAAAAAATACCAATAGATTACATAACTAATATCTGGACAACCAATTGCATACCAGAAAATGTCGATCATCTTTTGGACTTTTTCCCGCCTCGATAATATCTTGACCTCACAGAGATTAAATGAGTTTAATTGATTACTAAATGCGGGTAATTGATTAAATGTGTTTAATTGATGACTAAAGGGAAAAACAAACCGAAGAATCGTGAAGAGGCAAAGAGATCGGGGATATTAGTCTGGGCTTTCAGGATATACTTTGGCACACAAAAAGTATTAGTCTGAGCATTAAGGATATTATTCTACATAAAGACAGATATTTTTCTCGGAGGTTACGTTATATTTTTGAGAATTTATGTTGGTAATTATATCCAACATTTAACAAAATATTATCCATTTTGCTACAAACCAACATCTTTCCCTAAATATTATCTAACCCTAAGTTCAGTTTTACAAACCAATATCACACTACACAAATCTAAAATAAACTTTTCTTCCTTTTCCCTCATCGTCTTGGTCATCACTTTCTTCATCCTCAATTTCTTGGTCCTCATTTTGTTGTTGTTGTTTGGCACATTTAGGCCTAAAGGTTTCGCCTTCTGATGTGGTCCTCATTGCAGTTGATTTAGTTCTTGTCATTATGATTTCCCTGCCCAGTAGAATATCCTGACATTAGCTAATCAATAGCTGGACTCCACATAACGAATACCCTAACGATCAGAAGTAGTATCAAACAAGTCATATCCAAATATATCAAACAACTATCCAGGCAATTCACAAAAGATATCATGGTCGACCAAAACCAATATCAATGTAGGAATATCTAGATATATCAAACAACTATCCATACAATTAAAAACTGATATCCTGCCCGAAAAGAACTAATATCGGAACGCACACAAAACATATCCATAAAACCCAAAAAACAAAGCAACCCAGATCTAATCAAATCCACAAACAAAGCAACCCAGACCAGATCCAGTCACATCCACAAACCCAGAAAACATATCCGCATAATCCAAATATATCAAACAACTATCTAGGCAATTCACAAATGATATCATGGTCAACCAAAAACAATATCAATGTAAGAATATCCAGATATAACAAACTACTATCCAGGCAATTAAAAACTGATATCCTGCCCGAAAAGAACTAATATCGGAACGCACACAAAACATATCCACAAAACCCAAAAAACAAAGCAACCCGGATCTAATCAAATCCACAAACAAAGCAACCCAGACCCAGATCCAGTCACATCCACAAACCCAGAAAACATATCCGCATAATCCAAATATATCAAACAACTATCTAGGCAATTCACAAATGATATCATGGTCAACCAAAAACAATATCAATGTAAGAATATCCAGATATATCAAACTACTATCCAGGCAATTAAAGACTGATATCCTGCCCGAACAAAACTAATATCGGAACGCACACAAAACATATCCACAAAACCCAGAAAACAAATCAACCCAGATCCAATCAAATCCACAAAATGCATAAACAAACCAACCCAGACCCAGATCCAGTCACATCCACAAACCCAGAAAACATATCCACATAATCCACAAAAGAAAGCAACCCAAATCCAGTCAAATCTAAGTTACCAGAAAACAAATCCATCAAACTCATACAAAAAACGCAGAAAAAGAAAAACCCAGATCTAGTAAAATCCATGAAACCTTAACTTCAAAAAACGCAGAAAAAGAAAAACCCAGATCTAGTAAAAAGACAAATACCCAGATCCAATAAAACAACTATCCAGGAAAGTGAAAACTGATATCATGCTCGAACAAAACCAATATCAATACAAACAGAACTAATATCGGCACAAACAGAACTAATATCGACACGAACAAAACTAATATCGGCACAAACAGAACTAAATATCGACACAAACAGAAAGCCATTCCACAAAACCCAGAAATAAAACCCACAGAAGAACGAATCATGCAACCCTAACTCAAATCTGTCCAATCGAAAACTAATATCCACGATCTATGCTTGAAACCTTACTTGATCAAGAACCCGAGTTCCCTGCAAAGCGCCGACGCCGAGATCGCTGCTTCGTCGCCGCCGACAAGATCGCTGCCGCCGAGATCGCCGCCGCCGAGACCTCCGATTTCGCTGTAAGGTCGCCGCCGCCGAGATCTACAACTTCGCTGCTTCACTGACGCCGAGAACTCCGTCGCGGTAAGGTCGCTGCCGCCGAGTTTGCTGCTTCGTCGCGGCCGCCGAGATCTCTGCCGCCGACTTCGCTACCGCCGAGATCTCTGCCGCCGACTTCATGGCCGCCGACTTCGCTACACCGCGCGGTCGTTCGTCTGCGTTTGGGAGAGGAGGAAAGGGAGAGGAAAGGGAGAGAGAGGCAGGGGAAAACCAAATGGGCGGAGAACTGAAAAGGGGTAGGTTTAGGGTATTTTTTTTGGGTTTTTGAATTAGTGGGCCCCGCAAGCCGCTGTGGGCTTTGCCCAGCCGATGAAATCGGCTCTATTCCCACACTTTCTGGCGCGTTCTCTCCTCCACCGATGGATGAAGCCTTGGCGACGTGGAGGCCGATCCGCCCCTGTTAGCATCTCCTAACAAGTGCCCTTGTTAGGAGCATAACTAGATTGGTACATAGGTCAGGTGTTTGGATATAGTCGTTTTAATATGTTCATTCATACACCTCAGTCTTAAAAATACTAGAATCGACACCCGCGGCTACGCCGCAGGGACTAAACTTGCATCAACATCATTTTATAGTTTATAGAGTATTAAGGAGGTGGTCCAGACAGTTAATGTCACTATGAACGTGTATGCCTACCAGTAATGTGTTGGTAACTTGACATGGTATGCTAATTTCCGTCATTAAAAATTGTATTCAACATCCTTTTCTATTTAGTCTTTCATATTTTGTTTATGTTCTCACTAATTAATGTCATCAGTTAAGCAACATGCCAGTTGATGCCAGTTGATGAGACCACAAAGAAAGTTTGGCAATTTGTACATTGCCACTGTCCAAATACCAGTTAAACCTCATAATCCTAAGCTTGATCCCTGCAACGGCAAGATAGATGAAAGGGAACCCCCAACTTTAAGCATGAAAAGGTTAAAAATAATTAAAATTCGAAGTACTGGCAGTACATCACAATTCACAAAAAACGAAAGGCATTGGTTATCTCTTACCTTTCAATGACAAACTTATCACACAATCTTCCTTTCGTTCATCCTGCAGCCCTCTGCCATTACTGCTCTATTTTGTCCAAGTCCATCTGGTGCTTTGAAACTGGCATCAAAATCTCAAATATCATTAGATTTTCAGCCAACAAAAGTGCCAAGTGGGGTGACCAACTAATTGGAAGGGTTATTTCTAGCGAACTAAGCACAAATTTCTTCAGAATGTATTAGTCGGAATTAGAGCTGGCATTAGAGAGCAGCTAGCTGACAAAGAGCAAAGGAAATGTAAACCAATGAAACAACAAATAGCATTCACGAATAACCGCTACCCTGGTCTCAAACAAAATTTTACGAAACTCTGAAAGAAAGGAAGCAATTAGAAACCTAAACAGTAAAAAAAGGATTACCATTGCTTGTATCCTCCACTAACTTAAAGGCAAAGGAAATCACTTACCATTGCTTGTATCTTCGATTTCTACAGAAGTAGTGACACAGTTGTCTATCCTCCTACTTGCAGCAGCATAAAACTCACATCAAACAACATATTCATCCAGCCACCCCTAATCAACAACAAATATAATATATCCTTTACACCTCCAGTCTCTCTCTACAATACTTACTGCCATTCAAAAATAAGAAAAGGAAGAGAGCCTATGAGTCTTAACCAAAGGTTGACGCAACTGAACCAGTTTTCAAGGAATGATCACCTGCGGATCATCTTCGTCGCCATGGGGGTTCCTTAGGTGAGCACTGGGCAGGTTTCACTGCCGTGGAACTTAATCCATCTTCTACGCCATCTCTCTCCTTCACTATGATAAGCTCTGCTAGTTGTTCATGTGAAGCGGGACCGGAGTGGAAAATCACAGCAACCATTAACTTGTCACGCTGACAACGGTAAGAATAAATCAGAATTGGACTTCGAAATGATTAATGGCGCGGGGCTGGTGCAAGAGATATTTGACACAAAAAGGGAGAATGGGAGGAGGTTTGGTCGAAGAATTGGGTGCTAAACCAAGAACAGATAAAAAGAGAATCGAATTGAAAGGTGCATATGAAAAAGGGTCGACGGAGAAAAAAGTCTTCCCTTGAGGGCTAAGAACCTATTTAGAAAAATTATGGGCGCTGAAGTGTTTGAGTAGGTTTTCAGAGTTCGACATCGAGAAGCAAACCAGAGTGGTGGGGGTCGGAGATGATTGATGCGGTAGCTTGCAAAAGCAGATTTTGGGGAGGACGGGGGATACAGAAGCATGGTCGCTGCAATTGATAAGACGGCAACAGAGGCGATGGATGAAAAGGGGTACGGCCGAGATGCTCTTATCGAGGAGGCGGCCAACAAATTCGGTGTTTGGGTGAACAGAGGACATCAATCTTCCCTGAATTGAGGGGAGCAAAGCGGGAGGTACAATTGATGGCCGATGGCGTGTGTGGCCAATGGTGAAGGGAGCAGGAAATCTGGAAGAGCAGGTTGGGACAGTGAAAAGATGTACAGACTGAAACACTACCGTGTGATTGCTGATTTTGGGGGAAAGGCATGGTCAATGTTTCTGATTTCTGATTGCTGATTTTGGGGCAAGATCGGGAAGGGGAGGTACGGACAGCTCGGCCGGGGAAGGAAGTGCGTGGGGCTAAGGTATTTTGTCCGTCGTCCACTAAACTCCAAGAAATGAAACAGTGGATAGAGAGTTTGGGCCAAAAAGCGTACCTACATTTCATATGTAAAAGAATTAATCTACTCATCCAATAAAAATTTAACAAGAGGTGTAATAGGAGTTGGTTTGTGTATCTACAAGTTGCATCACCCAAAATTCGACTGAGTTCTACAAAAGTAAACTCCCACCCAATTTTAAAGTTTAATTTTTTGACTGAATTGAATTGGACGGGTGAATCTAGTAACGGTTCATTATGGTCACCCCTAGTGCTCCCACAGGTGCTCATAGAAGGTGTTATGAACACATACTCACAGACTCTCTATGAACATCATATCCGGGTTGTCAAACCACATCTGCAGCTATATACATACACTGATCCAAATTCAAATGATTGAGGAAATCAAACAGCTCCTTCCCTTGGCCGCAATCAAAAACTTGTGTCAATGGGCTATGTAAAGCCAAACGATAAAAAAAATGTTTTACAGGTTGTTTCCTTAGACCTCAATTTGGATTGTACAATGACAAATGCCATACATTTTCTCACAGTGATCCTTAATCCTATTGACCATCTCCCTGGCGCTAGCTTCTGGCTCGGCTATCACATGGCAAGTCAGGATCCGCTTACCGACTGTCATAGACCAGACGTGGATGTCGTGGATTTCTCGAACTCCTCTGATGCACTTCAGATCATTCTCCAGTCTGACTAGGTTTATGTCGCGTGGGGTCCTCTCCATAAGTATGTTGAAGATATCCATGAGCATAGGCAATGTTGTGAACAGTACAAACGTGGAGAACACCAGGGTGCAGATAAGATCAACAATCAACCACTCTGGCTTCGCCCATATGACTGCTCCGGCGATCATTACTCCAACAGACTGGATTAGATCAGCCATTACATGAAGATAAGCACCCTGGATGTTGATGTTCAGCAACTTGGCCTTTTTTGGAGACCCTAACACCAGGTCCAACTCTGACTCTTCTACCTGGTCTTCTTTTCTAGCAGGCAAATGGTTCTTGTTATGATCATGAATGTGATGGTGATGACTATGACCATGATCGTGGGCGTGACCGTGACCGTGATCGTGGGCGTGACCGTGATGATCATGACCAAGCCATATGACCATGATCAAGTTGATTATGAACCCAAATGCAGCAATCCCAAACATGAGTCCACCCTTGACTTCTGCTTGCTTGTGAAGGATTCTGTTCACTGCCTCGTAGATTAGGACTCCAGAGATGAGCCAGATGAGTTGTACGGAGAGCAGGGCCCCAAGGACCTCAAGGCGACTGAACCCGAAAGACTGGTCTGAAGTGGTTTTCCAACCCGAAGCCCACACTGTGAAGAGCGATACAGCAAAGCCAGCTACGTCGGTGAGCAAATGTGCTGCATCTGTGATAACTGCAAGGCTGTTGGCCCTTACACCACCTATAATCTCAACTGTCATAACCATCAAGTAGAAAATCATCAGCCCAGATAGTTTTACAGCTGACTTGGATCTATCCTCTAATTCATGAACATCATCTACATGTTTGGAGAAGGCACAAACGCATCCGCTGGATGGTCTGGAATCCACATCAGAGATGGTCTTTTCGTTGGGAGGGATGACCATCTCTATATCCTTCTGGCTGTCCGAACTCAAGATGGGGATTTCATCATATCCCTCCATCACCCTGGGATGATCGACCGATTGCCAGCAAAAAGGATCAGAGATAACGCAAGATAACAAATCCAGAGAAACAAAACAACTAAAGTATATAGTTATCCTTCTGAAGAACCCTGCAAAATCTGTCAGGAGGCAAAAATCTGGAGGAATGGCTTTTCTAACTCAATAACTAAACAGAACGAATACTCGAAAGAAACTAAAACGTTGCATGATAATAGAGTACAATTAACAAGCTATTTGCGTTCCAATCGTCTCATAATATTAAACGAACGAGAATATTCAAATTTATAGGCCTGAAATCCTTCTCTTTTCATCCTTGGTTCAGCCCTCTCTGTCCTTTTTCCTACACAAAATATAAATACTCCTCCTGGAAACTATAATCTAATACCTCTCTCTCCTAAGTAACTCGGTTGGGTTCTACAAATCCCCATTCTGGGTCTCATTCATCTAAACGACCCACATAATCAAAATTGCCTAAACCTCTTTCATGTTAATGCATATTATATAGAAACTGAAGGATCATGAGTAAATCACGACCCAGAACAACCGTTTCCTTATGATTGACAATCGTCTACTATTCACACAAGTTGTGGCACAGGGAATCAATGAAGCAGGTCGCTGGGACGTGCAAGAACAAGTAGAAATGCGAAAGGGAAAAAATAACCTACGAAACTAAACGGTACCGAGCTGTTAATCGAGTGGAGCGGAAGGAATTGAAGGGTTGACCTCGAATTGACCGGCGGAAGAATGAAACGTGGTTCCTCACTCAGCTGGAGAAAGGGGTGTGGATTGTAAAGACGGGAAAGGATTCACACTTCATAAATCGGAGGATGGTATGGACTATGGAGTAGTGCAGGATGAAACGGCAGGGCCGGCAATCCGTGGAGGCGGAGGAATTGCCGAATTGAAGGGGGACGAATTTGTGTGGCCGTTTAACTTTGCCAGTCCGCCTACTACTACCAGCGACTTCATTCGTACTTTTGATTCTTTCTAAGTTGACGGCCAAGTTTGGCTTGGCATTTGGCAACGCTACATCACGAAAGCCAACTAACGGTGTTTATTATTACTAGCTTTTTAGCCCGCGCTCTGCGACGGAAAGACATTTTGAACTTAGCGAAGGTAGACGTTATTTTTTCGTTGGTTTTTATAATTTGTTCCAGCTTGTTTAGTTTTTTTGGTGTCTGTCTATTGTTTATCTTTCTAATGATGATCTATAAGTTATCATTTTTCAATTATGCAGCTCCTTTACTATACTGTGCCATAAAGAAATGAATAATCAAATGTGAAATGTGAAAAATCTCCCGTCAACCAAGTGTTGTGTATTAATGAGAGATGCCTATGAAAACTAAGCATTTTTACATTAGAACCCTGATGAATGAAATTAATAAAAAAAGAAACAATAATTGAAACTAATAAAGGAACTACAAATGTTATATTTCAATCGAAATAATAATTACATCATCTAAATGTTCAAATGCTCATTGTTGGTGGTTTAAGAAAAGAGATACCAATGATCATATATAAATAGAGTTCATAAAAATAGAGGTAACATTTGTATGCCTTCTAATTATAAGACTATAACTTCAATCTGTAGTATCAAGTTCAGGGTTAATGACATAAATATTGTTTTTTTTTTAATTTACCACCAATATGGCGGATTAAAAACAAATGACACAGATATTGTGTTTTTGGAAAAGGCTTTAGCGGCCACACCGGAGACTCAGGCGCCGCCGCCGAACCTAAAGTTCCGGGCGCTGGCGCCCAAGTCCCTAGCGCCGCCGCCTCAAACTATGTTTTTTTAAAATTTCCCTCGGGCTCGGGCCCCCCCCCTCCCCTCCACCCTTATCTCTTTTCCCAGCCACACAACTCTCCTCCCCTCCTTCTTCCCGAGACCACACAACCCCCCCCCCCCCCCCCAAAACCCTCCTCTTCTTCTTCTTTCTTTCTGCCCGAACAGAGATCCCCGCCGCAACTGAGGTGCCGGCGCCTGCGAGTGGAGCGCCGCCGCCTGCAAGTGAAGCGCCGCCGCCGTCGAAGGGAGCGCCGCCGCTGGGGAGTCGAGCGCCCTCGCCGCAGTTGGGAGCGCCGCCGCTGGGGATTGAGCGCCGCCGCCGCAGAGAGGGGAGCCGCCGCTGCAGTCTGAAGCGCCGCCGCTGATGTCTTCCGACGAAGAAGCCGCCGGCAGAGGCAGGGGGAGAGGCCGGCGAGGTCGTGGCAGCCGTTTGCGCGGTGAGACTCTCGTCGGCGGCTTGAATTTTTTTTTTAATGGTTTGTGTTTTTTTATTGATGTTTTGTTGTTTGTTTTTGCAGTTCCTAGGCTTATGGATCCTTATTCGATGAGATTACCGCCGGCGACAATTGATCCAAGTTATCATCATCTACTACCTCTCCACCCTGATCCATGATCGGATGGCACGTTCCATGTATCATCTTCTACCTCTCCACCCTGATCCTCACTGAGCTCAACATGTATCTCAGCACCCAAACAATAAGGATTTTGTGCCATAAAATTCCAAAGCACATTCAAGCTATCATCATCCACAATAGGCATTGCATAATGAAATAAAACACCATTCTGCCATTCTGGAAGACGGTAAATGAAACTTGTGATCACATCACTATCTTGTACTGCTTCGTCTCTACGCCGTATTCTCGGAATTAGATTCTCACAAAGATAATGATATGTGACCCTGGATGGAATCGTCATCTGAAAACTACTACCACCAACGAATTTGACGCCCAAATTATCTTCTACTTTCTCCGATTTCCATCGAACGACTAGTTCAAATCTTCTAAAATCACTACAAAAAAACAGACTCACTAATTAAAACTAAACACAATCATAATAACATTTGAATAATATAATTACAAAAATAAATGCGTCTCTTACCTATTAGCCATTTTTGCAGCAGCAACCAGAGCTCCAAAGCTCCTTTGTTTTGAACGATTTTTTTGTGGTGTGAAACTGAAATGAAATTGGCTGGGTTTATATAGGGGGGAGGCTACCTAACTCGCTGATGACTCAGGCGCCGCCACTCTAGTCTCGGGCGCCGCCACCTGGGACAGTTTCTTACCTAACTCGCTGGACTTACCGGCGCTGCCGCCTGACTCTTCGGCGCCGCCGCTGTCTCTTAATCCAAAATATCATCCAGAGCGGCGGCGCCTAAGTCCCAGGTGTTGTCGCCATTTTGTGTGTCCAAAACACAATATCTCTGTAAATACTTCTTAATCCGCCATATTGGTGGTAAATTAAAAAAAAAAACAATATTTGTGTCATTTATCCTCAAGTTCACAGGAAAAAAATCTACAATATCAAGTAAAAAGGAATTGCTAGCTAATTGTACGAACCTGCAGAGGGGGAAGTATGTCCTACCTCAAGTTATTCATGGACTAATTACTACAAAAATGTAAATACAGCATTATGGGTTTCATAATTAAAACATTCAAGCACTTTTGGATGAGGAGGCAGATGCAGACTACAAAGTCTTAGGATTAAATAATCAAATTCAAAATGAAATCAAAACTGCATATCAATCGTGTCTCTTATAGTCCAAATTTAAGCAAATAGGTAGAATTAGAAGTAGTTCGACCTCAAGCTCAAACTCAATGGAAGCTAAGTGGGCAGGGTCAACTACTTTAACAACTGTTATTGTTGCAGCAAAGAACAAAACTTTTTAGTTAATGGGTGGAAAGAATATACTACTGCCAGCCAAAGCACATGAGGCAAGCAAGTTGTTGTGAGTTCTTCGAATCAAAGATCAGGTGAGTTAGCAAAGAAAACAGAAACAAAGTTACATGAGAATGCCTAGTAAAGCTGCAAATAAACATAGAATATCTTCCCCAAGAAAAGAGGAGCCGAACAACAGCGATGTCACCAAAGGAAGACCAAACTAACATGACATTTAGTGGTTAAACATAGTACTGCAACATATTGGAGCGTTAATACTCATCTTAAACAATGAGCTATGATTACTACTAATTGAAACAAACATGACGATCACATTCTGGTGACATTGATCTGCAGTGATCTATGAACTAAATAATCTACACAATGACAGGAATGGAGGGTAAGGTAGGCTAGGAACAGTGCATAATAGCATCATCAATAAAAAAAATATGTACTGAACTTATGATCTTTCAGCAAAACCTTGACAGGGAGGAACTTCAATCATTTGGTTCTGCTAATTATCCTTTTCCCAACAGCCTGGTTAATGAAGTAGAGTTGCCGATCCTAAATGGATGTTGTGTCCTTGATCCTTCAAAAGCTTAGATTAACACTACACTTCCTATATAATTGAGTGAAAGTACATTTAGTCAAAGATAGTTGGAGAATCATTGTAAAGAAAGACAATTTTGATAGAGCAAGTCAAAGGATAGTCACAATATATAGCATACAACAACAACAACAAAACACTTTTAGATTAGAGGGAAACCAATTGAAATCACTTATGCATAGTAATTTAAGAACTTTGGCAGAGAAGTTATGGAAAAACCAATTCTGGTCTTGCTCTGTCAGAAAGAAACTGTTGTCTAGTTTTTGACAGATCGGTAGTCAAGAACAAATGCAATGTCATAAAATCAATTTGGGAATGTTACGACTATTCCAAAATGACCAATCATGCACTCACTTAATCGAACTGTGTACACAATCACACTATCAAAATATTCACCAACCCATAAGTTCGTCCGTGTATGCACAAACGAAGATGCCAAATTGTGTTTCCTGTCAATCTCTTCAATTGTTAACCTGCAGACTGCAGTACTATTGGTATGTTTGATATGTGTTGTCGTTTACAGCACTCCCAAAGATTAGAGTTGCCTATGCCCTATTCAAGTTTTGATATTTCAATTAAAGTCGCAAATACCCAAGTCAATGCACATCAAACACCAAAACTCAATACATGAAACAGCACTGACCTCCGATTACTTCTGCTTTTGAAGTAATATCTCAGTATTGCAGAAGATGGAGCGAGAAGAACACCCTTCCCCTTCCAAAAGCAAAT